ATTGGCCCTTCTTACCATTTGTGAACTTATCTGTAATGTTTTGGTGTTTTCAATAACCAGAAGGATTTTTTTTTCTGCGGATTAATCCAGAATCGTCTGAGAAAGCAGGGCAATGCATTAGTGCATGCATGCAGGTTTGGTTTTTTCCTCCCAGCCCTATCAGTGAACTCACACTATGTGCTTTGCTTTTTAGGTAAGCAAACATCTTAAGCAAACAAGAATCAAACATGGATGGCAGAGAAATCTTGGAGGAAGCTTTACCAGGTACAGATGGTCAAATATGAGTGTAGCCTTGTCCATCTGGCCCAGGATAAGCAGCATCTCATTGTCAATAAACTCTTTATACTCCCTCAGGTTGCAGCTCATATGTTGTTCCAGTTCATTTCGGATCTACAGAAGTGAAAGGATTCAGTTTAATGTTTCTTCCATGGCTGATGCATTCATGTAAACCATGACACAAAAGCCTCATTACATATACCTCCTTAGAAGTAATATTTTCCAGGTCCTGAAACATCATTATGTTTCGGAGTTTGGCTTTGATCATACACTCTGTTCTCTCTCTCTCTGTTGGCCTGTGCATGACATGAAAAACAATGTTAATATAAGCTAAATCATTTAGGGTTTTAGTCCCATAATAAGCTCCCAAAATAAAATGTTAGTACCATATAAGAATATTCAATCTTATTTTACCACAATCAGTTTATCAGTCTGCTGTAGCATGTAAGATTTATACTACTTTCCACTAATATCCGCTGACAAATAACTCACTGATCAGAAAACATGACTGGCGAGTCAGGCCGTGTGGTCTCCAGATCTGTCATAGCATTCCACTCATTGATACAGCTCTGCTCTGAGGAGATGCAGCTCTCATAATAGCCAACCCATGTAAGGGCCATCCCTCCTGGAAAATAGTTGTATCTGCGGGACACCTCACATGCTTTGTGCATCACCTGGAGGGCAGACCTGCAATATACATACATACAGTCAAACATAAACGATTTATCAAGTACGTGAAAACACACTATTAAAATATCAAGAGAGAAAAAAAACACACACTATAAGAGGATACGTAATAGTAAACGTACCACATGGCCTGGACTGACACAGGCTTAAAAACATGTAGTCTCCCTGCTGTACTCACACTGAAACCTCTGGGGGATGAGATGAGAGGGGTTTAGGCATGTAAAACACGAGCTATGACATAATTCGTGATTATACAGAAATGCATAAGCAGGCAGCAGGACGATGCTACTTTCCGGGGTTGGTCAGTGGAACAATTTTACGCCACAAACCAGTGGAAAATTCTCTCTACATAATGCATCTGCCAATAGCCTCCAGGTCACATGCACAGAAAATATAAACATGTTATTTCGTACTGAACCTGTAGAGGTCATTCTCTGTACACATATGTGACCCTGGACCACAAAACCCGTCTTAAGTCGCTGGGGTATATTTGTAGCAATAGCCAAAAATTATTAACATCAAAATTATTGGTTTTTCTTTTATGCCAAAAATCATTAGGATATTAAGTAAAGATCATGTTCCATGAATATATTTTGTAAATTTCCTACCATAAATATATCACAACTTAATTTTTGATTAGTAATATGCTTTGCTAAGAACTTCATTTGGACAACTTTAAAGGCGGTTTTCTCAATATTTAGATTTTTTTGCACCCTCAGATTCCAGATTTTCAAATAGTCGTATCTCAGCCAAATATTGTCCTATCCTAACAAACCATACATCAATGGAAAGCTTATTTATTCAGCTTTCAGATTATATATATATATATCTCTCAATTTCGAACAATTGACCCTTATGTGTCTTGTTCCTGAGTTTCTTGCTAAGATTTTATGTTCAGGTATACTGGTTCTGGTCAGGTGTACCACACTAAGAACCAAACAATTGATGCACCAACAGCGATGTTAAGCATCCTACAGAAAGGCAGATAGCTTAACGTTCATGAGAGAGTCTGTCTGAAAGTGTCTAGTTCATCATTTGAACTCTGTTTGATAGAGAAAGTCAGTGTACACAACAAGAAAAATTATATCATCACACTTAATATTTCATTAGGCCACAACAAATAATCTTCAGTGGAGTCATAATAAGGCCTGTCGAATATCGGCAGGATCCAATCAGTCACGGTCATTATGAGTTAACAACACATAAGTGTTCAGCAGAGGTTCTAAAAGGAAGACACTTTTCCCACACGGATCGCCTTTGCTCTGAGTGGTGTGACAGCAGCAGGTCTGGGAATGGGGTGAGCTCCAGCTGTGAGCTGAGCCTAGTCCGTGAGTGATTCTGCAGATGGCATGAAGGATGGCTGCTACTAAATGAGGCTGAGCCGTTTGCTTTAATAAGGTCTGAGTTCTGTTCAGTCATGAGTGGGCAGAAGAGAAGCCACATGCAGCCTTATGCTGATGCACTACAAGCAGGAAGAGAGGCACACAGATGCCCTTAAGAGATGGGCCCAAAGCATCTTATTGTTAAATGGATAGTTCATGGAGTACACAGACTCCATCACTCCAGAGTAACACTGAGCTTTAATGCTATTTTTTTAAATATGCATTAAATTGACCAAAAGTGACAGTAAAGATTTTTTTTATTATTTTTAAATAAATGCTATTCTTTTGAACTTCCATCACACAATCTTAAAAAAATGTTTCATGGTTTCCACAAAAATATTAAGAAGCACAACTGTTTTCAACTGTCATGACAAATGTTTCTTGAATGATAGAATTACAGACAGTTCTTAAAATTATTTCTGAAGGTTTATAAATTTAAAAAAAAAAATCTTAACTTTTGAACAGTAGTATATGTCTATATCTCAAAATCTAGTAGTACCTATGTTTTTAATATCGACCAGTTAATCAATGAATCAACTAAAGGAATACTACCTCTCGCAAAATTAGCAGTGAGGATTGTGCTGATCATAATGTTTTGTGAATTATTGGCTTGAATAATCAAAAATATATAATTTAAACAAAAAATCATTACTGCTTAATTCTTATTTAAAAATGGATATAAATAACATCTATCTAATAGGGAAAGACATATTTATTATCATGATTATAATAATTTAACATAAGGTACTTTAATTTAGATTCTTGTGGGAAACTACTACTTTTAATATTAAATTGGTGTGCTTGAACACATTCATCTCAAAATTTCCCTAAGTAATTCCTCTCCCAAAATGGCCACAGCCATATCACCCTGCAGCCCAAAATTAGTTGCCCACTGAAGCTAAGCAGGGTTGAGCCTGGTCAGTACCTGGATGGGAGACCTCTTGGAAAAACTAGGTTGCTGTTTGAAGAGGTGTTAGTGAGGCCAGCAGGGGGAGCTTACCCTGTGGTCTGTGTGGGTCCTAATGCCCCAGTATAGTGATGGGGACAAAAGCACCGTCTTTCGGATGAGACGTTAAACCGAGGTCCTGACTCTGTCTCTTTGGTCATTTAAAATCCCATGGCACTTCTTGTAAAGAGTAGGGGTGTAACCCCGGTGTCCTGGCCAAATTGCC